TACATGATTTCACATAAATTTTTTGTCTCTTTTGTGAAACCATGCATCTCTGAATGCCAACGTAAGTGCTCAACATGATACTAAGTGGCAACACTAAAAAAGTGATTCATGTTGAGATAGTTACTGTATTCAGTTACAAAGCATAGACATCACTAAGTCGTTTTGTGGTATTAAGTATTGGAACAAATCCTTAATCTGTCTATATATAAAATGTCCCCATGAATACCATTAGTGTGAAAAGAACCTATCTTCCTAAATCTAACCCTCCAGCACATATTGACATCATTTTTATTTCTGATCAAAATGTCCACAGATTGTCATCGTAATTTATGTCATTCAAAAATGTTTTTATTGTCCCATTTTAGTCAGTTAACAAAACTGACACTAATAATCACTTTCTTATGTAATATAATGTTGGTTGATTTCATCCACTATGGGGTAATTTTGTGTTTTAATTTGGCCATTACTTTTTCTGTTTCATCTACTGTAGCAGAAGGATTTTTGGTGACAAATCTTATTTTGACACATATTTCAAGAAAATGCTTTGAATGGGAAAAAAAACCCTCAATGATTCACTGGGTAAATTTACGACCCTTTTGTTTTGTTTTTCAAACGTTTTTTGCATAAATCTGTTAATCAACCTCAGTCTTGATTAAAATTACAAGATTTTAACTTGTTAATTGCCAAATTCACATATGATGTCACTTATTTGGTGAAAAATAAAAACACACAAATAGATGTATTTTCAATATAAAAAGTAATTGTGGACTGGATTTTTTTTTTATCAAAGTCTTGGGACATGTGAAACAATATTCCCTTTCATGCGTTGTTCTTGATTGATTTTCAGTTTTTACTTTACTTTTTTTTTTTTTTACTTTACTTTTTTTTACTTTTTTTTACAGTTTTAATTTACTGTTCGGGACTGTTTTTCCCTTTTTGGTTGTTGGTGGTTTTTCCTGTTAGGAAGAGGTAAAATTTGTTTACCTTTACATTTATTTTAACTGTTGATCATCAGTTGTCACTATTAACTCTTTAGATAGGCCTGTGCAAAAAAGCTTAATTTTTTATTTAAATGGGGTATAACAAATTAAAGCGTGTGTATGTGCGTCTGACCATGATGTGTCTGAGAAAAACAAAATATGCATGGAGCAAAAACAGCCACCAAGAGTAAATTAGGGAGAAAGAATAAAAATCAAACAATGCAACAAAGCCAATGTTGTTACTAATCTTTCACATGTCCAAAATAAAACATTCAGTCCAAAATTACTTTTTATATTAAAAATACTTCTTTTTTTTCACAAAATTAGTGACGACATTTGTGAAGTTGGCAATTAAAGATTTCAAATCCTGTAATATTTAAACAATTTAGTAGTTTTGATCAGAACGGTTGATTAACAAATTTCTGAAAAATTTTTTTTTTTTAAGTTTTTATCTGATGCATTTTTACAACTGTTTAATGTAGTGGATGCTTTTATTCTTAACCTAACAAAAGGGTAGTAAATTTGAACAGTGCACAAGGGCTAAAACTATTAAATCAAGACAAAACATGTACCAATCATGTAGAGCTACGTTTAGTTACAAATAAACAGGAAGATCGAGATGTGAGATGCTGCACATCTTGTGCTGTTTGGTTTTTACAGTAGCCTTGTGTTCTTCAGGCTAATTAGGCCAAAGATAGTAAATGTATGCAAGCTCTCAGATAATGCTAATAATACTGTCCATCCTTTAATTATCTCTAGTTTCCATGAATATTTAAAAGCTGACTGTAAGATCCTGGACCTGTTGAAAGAATCGCTGCCTTACTCAGTTTGTACTAGATCTAGTGATGATGACTGACAACAGTGCTTATGGATTAACTCATTGAGCAGATTCCAAAACAGTCCTGAGTGGCCTGCCCCATCTGTCAAGAATAACAAGAAAGTATTACAACGTGCACATGCTTGTGTAAAACACGCTTTGGGTGGAAAAACTCACTGGCTCTCAACTTGTGTGTCAACTTGTTTATAACCTTAGTAATTACTGCGGCTACATATTAGGGAACACAAAGCGACCGAAAGTAAAGCAGCCCAGTGTCTGAAATCCAGCTCTCTTCAAAGTTAATCTGCCAGTTTGCCATATGGGTTATCCCTGATTTGTAACAAGACAGGAGGGGGCAGGGATAAACACCAGATACCAGGTTTTGGCAAAAGGTTGTTAAGAAGTTTAAGTTGTTTTGGGCAAAGCACAAGTTCAGCTGAACTGATCTGAGGCATGATTTTGATTACAACAAATTAACTAATTAAAAAGTGTAGAAATTTTCTGAAAAAAAAATTTGTCATCACTTCCGTTTCATTGTAACTTTAAAGAGATATTTTATAAAAATCCGCCATTTGTGAACTTGGGGGATGTTTCTTCTTTAACCAGAAACCAATGTCCCTTTAAGGCAAGTCATGTCACCCTGTGGCCATCTTTAAAAACACCTCTCAGACATGCAAGTGCAGCTTCCGTATCTTTAAATAGGGGAAACATCAAATTCTCCCAAAACTGTTTGCTCATGAAAGAATGTCAAATTTGTACTCCGCAATGAAATCTAAATCATAAATTTTGCTTCCAAACATGTGCATCGTGACAAATTTATCTCAGGTTGCCTAAGCTAATGCACATGCATACCTGCAAGGAATGAATTCACAACACCAACTTCCTCTCCTTTACAACTGTTTCTAGAGGATCCGATCATCAAAATGTAGCTACCTTAAAAATGTAGAAATTATGTGTTACACACTACATCATTATCTGAATAAAATCGCATTGATCTCTCTGGTTTTCCAACTTACAGTAATATATTTTTCAACATACAGTATAGTTAATGCCAAATCCAGAGCAACCTCTTTACTTACATCACAAGATCTGCATTTGAATTGCAGAGGGGGGGGGGGGGTGTCATTTAACATAATTATGTTAGACAAAGACATTCCCTCACATTAGTTTTATATGGTTTACCAAACTAGAGAACATTTGTTTTCAACTGAGTAGAGATTTAGCTTTATATAGATATATTTTTCATGTCTTAAGTATCCACTGAGATTCAGTTCTTTTTCAAAAACATGAGAGGTAGATCATAACCAAAAAAGAAGATCCGTCAGTCTTTAGCGATCAATGATTGGCTCCTGAACTAGAAAGCAGGAAAAATAACTTTACCATTGCATTTATCTCCATTCTAAACTATGCTAGTGTATGCTAGTATGTAATGTCTAGGGTATTCTTTTCCTATGGGAAGTCTTTTCCAAAACTATGATATTTCTATAAATGCAAATAAACTACTATTAGCACTTTGAGAGTGAAAAACATATATAGACTCAAAACAGTATTAATACTAAGTGATTTCTGATGATATTTTGAGGTCTGTTGTGGTCTTGTGAAGGAAAGTTATTGGTCTCGGCAAGAAAAAAAAAATTTTGTATAACTTTTTAAAAGTTACATTCCATTACATTAAAGTTAGGTGTCCACGAAAAGTCAATCATCGGGTTTTAAAAGTCATACTCAATTTTTCATTAAGTGTTAAGTTTATCCAGAATAAGCACAAGCACAGATTTCATGACAAACTTCTACCAACACTTACCATACAGAAATTACCTTTGTTGGGTGGTTAATTTATTGTTTACTCTTCAAACCAATGTATGTGTGTAAATCATTTAGTGTTAACAAGCAGATGAGTAAAAAAAAAAAAAAAAAAAAAAAAAAAAAAATCACAACTTTGTTTAAGCCTCCAACTCAAATTAATAGCCCAATAATTAAGAATATACATTATAGAGTTGACCCAGCATCAAACATAGCCATAAGCAAGTGCTTAACTCACATTGTAGAGGAGGAAAAAATGATAATGATCAGTAATAATGAATCACCAAGGACCATGGTTTAGGCTTGTTTGATGTTTACTGAAGAAAAAGTAAAAGACTAGATCTCGGATAGTCTGACGGTGAGTAAATAAACAGCAAATTAAAACAAAGGCCAGATAAATCAATTAAATTCAAATTTTAATTTGTAATAAAATATTTCAATATTTTAAAACAATGTTTTGTGGAAATCAAACTTAAGTCAAGCCATCATGTGATCCAGATGAATATGAGATTTTGACTGACAAGGAACACATTCATTACTAATATATAAATATTTAACAGCATAATCAATATCTTGTGGCAGAATAAAACCAAAAATAGGCTATCACTATTCAGATATCCAGCGAGTAAATGGACTGTCCGTCTGACTCTCTGAAACTCAGACCTGGTCTGGCCTCTTGTAGTAGACAGAGTCTCCATCTGCTTAATAAAGACTTACAGAGTGTCCTGAAATCATTCTCCGCAGGTGCTCTGCATCAGCCTGGCCAATAGCTGACCCCTAGTGAGTAACTGACCACTTCATTTAATGCAAACAAAAACACCAAGTACCAAACAAACTAGTTTATATCTATAGGTAACCATTTACATCAGTGGACATCTATGCACACACATTACTGGATTGATCAAAAAATGCCACCGGTCATACAGCGTTCAGTTTTTTGTGCAGCTTTTGTTTAGTGTTAAATTAGACTGAATCAGCATGTAGTCTAGTGTTACTGCTACAGCTCAAATGTTTAAAAATGAGTCCCTGATGATTCATCTAAATATTAGACACAGAAACCTCTTAGCCAGCCAAATCAATGAATTGTGACCTTGAAATAAATTCTAAGCCTACAGTGTAATCTGGGACAAAAGTATTTAAAGAATGATTGTACAGGGTTTCAAGTTGCACGTAATGTTAAGGTAAAAATTATCAAATGTTAATCAGAAACTTTAAAAAATGTCATACACGATGCAAAATATGATTCGTGGATGATAGTGCTGACTCAAAGCAGAGCTGATGAGTTTGTTTACATGTTCAAATGGCTTCTTTTAAATTGCATACTTCTATGCTGAGAACATTGGTGCACAAAGAGATGCACATACATACATACATACATACATACATAAAAGCAGCTTACTTACTGTTTCTGTTGGTCTTGATTTTGGCCAGAAGTTTATGAGCTAAGGGAAGGTCTCCATTCTTCACAGCCAGAAGAAGATCCTGCTCCTTGCCCATGGCTTTGTCCAGCTCCCAGAAAAGTGTTATAATCTGGATTCACACAGTCATGATCCTCTCTGCTCATTAAATTTTGGATTTGCCTTCAGGTTTAACTTATTTATTTATATTATTATTACAAAAATATGGTTAGATATTCAGCACATAAGGTTTCAATTTGTTTTGCGGTCCTATGATACATAAAGTGAATGTCTGTTTTTGAGCAGCACGTGTACACCGTATGTAAGCCATCCTGAACGCCAGAAACATCACATGGAAACCTATTGAAAGAATGGACATGCTGTATTAGTATAGGTGTCTACAGCAATCACAATAAAGATTAACATTAGACGCCACGTTGATGCAGAAAACTGTGACAACTTTAATCTGCAGATAACAAATGCACGTCTCTTTCATCTGAGTTACACAACAAATAAGCAAACAATCACTTCCAAGACTACCTACTGTAGGCTATAAGAGCACTTCTGTGATCATTTGGTTGTTATGGAAAGGGCAGACAACACGATTGTGATAAAAAGCCTACACATTAATAATCACTCACAAACATGACTTTCCCGACCAGTTACGTTATTGAATCAAAAGCTTAACAGGTAACGTTAACGCGCGTATCTGCGCACTTGTATAGTAAGACTATCTGAGAACACATACTCACCCAATACGTGATCAGGTGACTTCAGCGCTTAAATACTCAAATTCCAAGAAACCGAAGTAGTTCAATAAGTATAATCCAGTTTATGGTTCCAGTTCCTGATCGAGAAACCGAAAAAGCGCAAAGCCACACTTGAACGTGCTTTTGACACAACACAAGTGACCGGTGCGTGAGCGCGCGCCGCCTGTCACGCGCCTCCCCTGCTGTAACTCTTCCTGAAAGGTTCGCGGTAACCTTAATGTGTCTCTCTTCAGTATTTCAGAAAAGAACTCATTCCCCTAAACGACGAATATATCCTTTGGTTAAAACCTTTGCAAGTCTAAATTGTAGTATTTCTAAAGGTGTCTGTATCATGGTACGGTTAATTTAAATTTACAATAGGCCTAAACTCCAATAGAACAGTTCTGTCACAATTCTTCTGTCTGTACGCGTTTATGGTAATTTCGTCGAAGCGAACATCTGGGACCCCCATGTGAGGTCACTGTGGTTTCCCAAAGTTAGTGCGACATCTTGTGCCTGAACGCTGTAATGTCGCGAGCGTTCATGGCGTTATCATTCCCTGACTGCAAAAATTACAATATCAGAACTGACCTTTATGGAGACATATTGTATATCAACGTGCAAAGTACTGCAATGACTGTCTTAAAAAATAACGTCTTAATGTATTTCATTGCAGATTACAAAAAGCAAAGTCATTTTAAAGTCATCTATTTTAAAGTCATCTATCTTGTTGGACTTAAATCTGTTCTTTAAAATAAGAACAAAGAAATGCAAAGAGTGTCCTCTAAAGAAAAATCCACTAACCGCAAAACTTATTTTTTCAGCTTCTTAACATTAGATTTCCCTAATATTTCTTACAAGTAATAACAATCCCAGTGTTGAAAAATTAAAGATGCCCAAAAAGGCAAATCTGATGAAGACCTGGCATAAACTGTACTGTCAACGTGTAAATATTAGTTTCTGAAGTTCAGTAATAAAATTATATTTTTTAAGAGATCATTTTTATTTTGTTTAGATTCAAGACAAAGCAGCGGTGTCTTTAAAATCTGGACTTTTCAGTTAATCATTTAAACTTGTATTTAATAAGAGTAGTAAATATGTGACATAAGAAAAAGCTTGATTACTTTGTTTTTCTTTTCATTTGATCAATTCTTTATTACAAAATGCCAAAAAACAGAGTAAAACCTAACAATGCAAAGTTATGAAACACTACACAACTATAATTTACTGCAACCTCATTTGTCTTTGTGAAATAACTGACTTAGCTGTATTCATTTTCTTATTATTTGGATTATTTCAGCAAAGTCAAATGTATTGTAAGACACCAACATTCAATTAGATTTCCCCAAATACATCCAGATTAATTTGTCATCATGAAATTTCTTCCAGGTTTTCATCTCCAAACGATAATCATGATTACCATAAAACACTAGTTTAGTGTGTTTGGTGTCATAATAGTAGCTTGGATATTTCCGGTAGTCAGCCGTGCAAAAGCCATAGACTCTAACCTATAAGAACAGGAAAAACAAAACACTGTTATAAAAATATTCGTCAGCTCAACAGATGGAAAAAATAACTGCTCACATGATAAAAATCAATAAAGGTCGGTTTATCTGATAGACGGTCAGTTCATCAGATAAAATCTCTATTAAAGTAATAAACAAGACTTCAATCTAAAAGGGAAGTTATAAATAAATCTTAAAAAAAAGAGAAAGATCACTTACAATGTCACAGGTGTGCATAGCCAACAGAAGAGTGAATGCTCCATTAGTGGGTCTGACCACCCACCACCGCTTTGTTTTTAGTTGTTTAGCCCTAAGAAATCTAAGATGAAAAAGTAAACTTGACTATTAACAAAACAAAAACACAATATATAAATTTACAGAAACATAAAGAGGAATAAATTATGCATTTTCAGGATGTACCTGTTTCGCACATATCTGAGAAAATCTGGATGGAGGATGTAGTAGGAACTTTCATTAAAATGCCCGCTGTAATATTTCCTTGGCCTTCAAAATATGAAATAATAAATAATCATCTAACGGGATATTTAATCCAATCTACATTAGATGTAAGCAGCAATCCTCAAAAACAAGCTTAATCTTTTGGCGGATAAGAAAAACACCTCAGATGATCTGGGTAATAATTAACTCAAATATATTAATAACTGCAAAACAATTCTGTATGTTTTCTAAAATGGTATGTTGAAATATGAAAATGAGGCAGAATTTAATTTAATATTTGCCAATTTGCATTCATTTATAAGACAGAAAAACTGAACTGAAACTTGTGACATTAGTCAAAGGTTTTTAAAAGGGAGATTAAGCATCACTAACACAATTTTATTTTCATAAAGAAAATATACACTCACCGGCCACTTTATTAGGTACACCTGTCCAACTGCTTGTTAACGCAAATTTCTAATCAGTCAATTACATGGCAGCTACTACGCATTAAGGCATGGAGACATGGTCAAGGCGATCTGCTGCAGTTCAAACTGAGCATCAGAATGGGGACGAAAGGTGATTTAAATGACTTTGAACGTGGCATGGTTGTTGGTGCCAGACGGGCTGGTTTGAGTATTTCAGAAACTGCTGATCTACTGGGATTTTCATGCACAACCATTTCAAGGGTTTACAGAGAATGGTGTGAAAAAAAATATATCTAATGAGCGGCAGTTCTGGTGGCACAAATGCCTTGTTGATGACAGACGTCAGAGGAGAATGGCCAGACTGGTTTGAGCTGAGAGAAAGGCAAGAGTAACTCAATTAAACCACTCGTTACAACCGAGGTATGCAGAAGAGCATCACTAAACATGCAACATGTCGAACCTTGAGGTGGATGGGCTATAGCTGATGTGTCTTGATTTCTGCTGCCACATTCAGATGGTAGGGTCAGAATTTAGAGTCAACAAACATGAAAGCATGTCTCCATCCTGCATCAAATCTGCAGCAACTGCGTGATGCTATCATTTCAATATGGACCAAAATCTCTGTGAAATATTTCCAGCACTTTGTTGAATCTATGTCACGAAAGATTAAGGTAGTTCTGAAGTCAAAAGGGGGGCCAACCCGGTACTAGTAAGGTGTACCACATAAAGTGGCTTTTATTGTAGATATCAATAAAACTGATGTGGTGTAAATGCTGCTGAAGGGGAGATTTATGGCTCAGTGCAGGAGAAAACCCCACTTTAAGAAGCCTTTAAAATGATTTTAAAAAAAACTTTAAAAATTATATTAGAATTGCAATCTATACATAAAATCTGAATGTGATTAAATAAACACTTAAAAGTTTGTTGTGGATCTTTTCTTTCCATTAAATAAAAAAAAACACCATTTAAACCTGAAAAGTCAAAAATGTTACTTTTTAACCTGCAATGTCAAGCCTTATTACTTATTTTTCTGTTAAATTAACTTACGTTCGTCCTCGATATGCTCCTGATGGTATTTTTCTGTTCTTCATAAGAGACTCAAGAAAATTGTAGTCTCTAGGACCCTCAGGGATCAGAACATATTTAATGTCCTTTTATAAAAAAGACAGATTCAGCCAAAGTGGCACATATCAAAAGAAACAAGTGATCGGTTAGACACACCTTGTCAGTAGGAATCTGCTTGAATCCTCTTTTTTTGTGTATCATGAGGGACTGGATTATGGAATGTGCTGTGTGAACATAAACCGATGTCCTTTTCCCAACATCCTCCTCATGTCCTGCTATGATGGCTGCATTCATCCTAGCAGAAACAAACAATTTTTTTCAATATAATGAATACGTTGTTATAGAAGTGCCCCCATTTCAAATATTGCATTTCATTTAGTCTGTAATGCTGCTACTTGTGAATGTTAAAGTTTTGCAATATAAGTGTTATAGATTAAAGTGCACCAAAAAATATATATATATATATATTATTAATATAATTTTCATATTTTTATGCTTTATGCTATTTTTATGCTAAACAGAGTCCAGAATTTTCATTTCAGAGCATCTTTAGTATTTAGTGTAATAAAACAAACACTGCTTCTTCGTATGATATGACTGGAAGATCAGGGAGTGGTCGACTATGGCATAATAAAAGCTTTGCTGCTTTTATGCAATGGCACACTCATCTCTCATCAGCAATTCAGCAGTCTCATTTTGGCTTTGAGTTTTAGAGGCTAATCACACCAAATGTGATTTTCTGTTTTGAGAATGTAAGGCGAAAATAAAAGTAGTGCGGTGTGCTTTTTATGTTCCTAGGCAACGGCTGAATCAGTTGCGTATTGTGTGCGAGCATTGCTGTTGATATTGTTATAACTGTAATATTTAATAATATTGTGATATTCAAGATTTGTGAAGTCATAGAGCTCAGGATAACCTGAAACAGCAACCCCTAGTCTCTCCTCCATCTTTTAAGGTCTTCGTAGTCGTCTTAACACACAGACAAACACACACTGCTGTCACCTCAGCAAAACTCCACCTCTGCTTTCATTTGATTGGACAATAAAAAAGACGCAACTGACATGGCACACTTTTTCGCTTATGGGTTTACTTTTATTGAGATGCAAGGCCTTAATCTGCTTCATATTACCTTCATAATATATATATATAATTTCTGTTTAACTGGGAAAGAGTTTTTCAACACATAACACATTTCTAAACACAATAGTTTTAATAACTCATTTCTAATAACTGATTTCTTTTATCTTTGCCATGATGACAGTAAAAAATATTTTACTAGATATTTTTTAAGACACTTCTATACAGCTTAAAGTGACATTAAAGGTTTAACTAGGTTAATTAGGTTAACTAGGCAGGTTAGGGTAATTAGGCAATTTATTGTATAACAGTAGATTGTTCTGTAGATTATCAAGAAAAAAAGCTTAAAGGGGCTAATAATTTTGTCCCTAAAATGGCTTTTAAAAAATTAAAAACTGCTTTTATTCTAGCCGAAACAAAACAAATAAGACTTTTTTAGAAGAAAAAATATTATCATACATGCTGTGAAAGTTTCCTTGCTCTGTTAAACATTTGGAAAATATTTAAAAAAAGAAGAAAAAAATTCGAAGGGGGCTTATAATTTTGACTTCAACTGTGTGTGTGTGTGTGTGTGTGTGTGTGTATATATATATATAACAACAAAAAGTAGTACCATGAACTGGCTCTTCTCAATCTTCACATCTCACTTTAATCACAATAGTAAGAAAAGATTTAGTTTTAATTGTGCAGGGTCATTTATTAAACTAATTTGTTTTCACTGACATAGTTTTATAGTTTGTAGAGATAAGATAAAGATAAAACATCTCATTATGTACCACAAAAACTAAAACTTACCAGTGAGAAACGCCTTTCTCAAATCATGCTTGCGATGGAGGAGGTTTAGTTTGTTCAACTAGG